GAATAAGTATTCCATTGTTTATTTGAGTGACCAAACTACATTAATTGATCAACACAACGCCAGAACTTACATTAAGCGATTGTTAATGTATAAACGACACTGTTGTAGCCCAAATTTTAATGTAACCTTAAAGGTCAATAAAATATAATAGTATATTAAAAACTGAATGTTTTAAATAAATGTTTGCTTCAAGACATGCCTTAATCAAGCTTTCTAGAAAACATGCATAAAAGATCCAAATAGAAATATTTGAGGTTATGTAGCCACATGTTGATAGAGTACATTTTCATGCTCACATGAAAAGATTTAACTTGTACGAAGAACAAATCACGGTCTTTTCGATCTACATTCATTAAACAGTCCATGTTTTCATAGATATCACGATGATAGAGTACGAATTACTAATTACTTCATAACACAATTTCGATAACTACCAAGACATTCAGCCATTCATAAACAACCTCGTATGTAGTAACTGTAATTGTTTTTTTATGAACGCATAGCCAGGGTTAACCATTCTCAGTGGTTCACCATTGACAAATAATTAACAAACGAACTCACTGATGCATAAATTCAAGTAGATTGTTTAGAACAGTTCAAATGTAAACGTAAGAGGTTATTATCAGTATGGATGGTGACGTGTTTTGTAAGATGTATCAAATGTGTAACAAAAATGTGTGTAAACATTATTGGTATGCTCACCATTTAATAATAGCTCAAAATCGTTTACTTCACTTGTTTTATGCTATATATATACATTCATGTATAAGCATGTCAAACATTTGCATCACATTTTACCTAAGCATTTCCAGAATATGTTCACTATCGTTATACAAACATTCTGTTAGGGTAGAGATGTTTGGGTTTATATAAGTGCGAAATGAGGCTTTGGAATAAATCTCAACAAAAACTTAATTTTAACAAAGAATTATGAATCGTTTGAACACTAGAAACGTAAACCTTTTCAGAGCTTACATTGTCTTTGATGCTTCGATTTACAATGAAACTTCAGGAGACATATTGGAAAGTTATTTAGCCATTTTTTAATTTAAAGCAACTGCCATACTGGCAAGATATCAAGCCATTTACGGGGAAGCTAATATAATAAGAGACTTATCATATCATATTCTCTGTATATAAGAGACAGTAATTGAGGGCATGAAAAACGAGGTTCAAGTTATTTTATCAAGGGAGTCTTCAATGTATTATTGATTTGTGGCTACATTAAAATCTAAAACACAGTTAAATTAGTCTATACTGTAAGGTAAGAGCAACGGAATCACAGGATATTATTAGTTCAACTGGTAGAACACAGCTAATCCAAAAGATTTCGCCTCCCGAAAATGAGTCTCGGGGTGTGCTCACACAGTAACTACAGACTTCTAGTAAAATGAAGCAAAAATAATCCTAGTACAGAAAATTCACTTTTACTCACGTTCCCATAAATCGCTTGGTTTTAACTGTAATTTTTATTCAGTTGAAAGCAGTTCTGTTTTAACCACAGTACTATTTTAATAACAATGCATGGATGCCATTGCCTAGCGGTTTTCCACTTCGTCCACATATACTGTTTCTGGTATTCCCGTAGCCGAGTATACTAAGTTTTGTTAAGCCGACCATCTGCCTATTTGGCGAGTTTTCTTTATTAAGTGAAAATGTATGTTATATTAACTCAGTTAACAAATACTAACATCATTTCATTGATCATAAAAAATGGATTATGCTTCAACATGATTGACTAAGTCGCGTGAATAAACGATTACTTCCGCAACATCAATGGAATACTAAAAGCTTCATATACTGCATGGATACCTTAACCATGGGCCACAAAATATCGATAGTTCCATCATCAAGAGTTTTATCTTTGTTTATATTGAACCTAAAGGCTTTACTGACTTAAATGAAGTACAAGTCTGACTTTAAAACTGGCAAAATAGAGGTGTTTAGTGAATTGCCAATTATTTTTATAATATTACTGATCACGCATTTTAAAAATTAGCCAGGAAACTATGACTGATACACTATGAACTATTGTGTAATAAAATAAAATTAATCGACTGCTGGTTCTCCATTTTAGTTGTAAGGCTTTGCTAGACATGGAAAATTGAGATCTCAAGTCGCATACTTGACACATTACGAACACATTTTCTCATTATTTTCAGAGATAATATGTGAATAAAAGTACTCCATGAATCTGGTATTTTATAGAAAGACTTTTCTTTCCTCAAATTTCTAGATATCGAGTACCTTGACCATTTAGCCATATTTATCAAACAATACTTTTGGGAGTAAAACTTAATAAAATGAGCGTTTTCTCATCGAGGTATAACAAAATAATACACATTAGCCCAACATTTGCTATTTTTGATGAGAACATAGTATACTTTTTAAACTGACTGATATTTTAGAATAGACGCAAAGTAATAATCGAGTTACAAAACTTCTGTGAATGAGACGGAGTATCCAGTTAGTTGAAGACTGAGTAGCATTAGTTTCACTTATCTCGGCTCGTAGCAAACACGTATATGTTCAGGTAGTAGTTAATTCATATGTTCTATTTTCGACGGATTTTGCAGCAAAACACAAGTTTTATATGCTATTTAAAATTTTCTCACTTGAATACTTCTTACTCTAAAATATATTGTGTTACATCCATAAAATAATATTCCAAGCTCACTAGGAAACGATATGCATTGATCTCCTTTGATATTTCAAGGAGTAGGTTACGTTCTAGATAACTGCTGCAAGTATCTGTTTTTGAAGGTCAGTTTTCAGTTCTATGCAGATATATGTAATGTTTTTAGTTCATGGTATACTAGGGTATTAGTTTTATTGAAACAATCAAACCACCTAACCGATCGTGAGCAAAGTATGACCTGACATAGAAATATATCGACCCAAGTTGTAAATTAATGTCACGAAGTAACCACGAAGGGTGTCAAAGCAATAAAAGTAATGTTAATCTTAGTGATAAGAAAGACTGTGCGTAGGAAATATGAACCAAGAAAGAGAAACTGAAAAGTTTAAATTAATTTTGAAATTTAAAATCTAATAGTAAACAAAGATGAGTTGTATCTGCTTGATTACTACCAATTCCTGCCCATATCACAAAATACCTTCAATCATAGCTACAGTGTTTACCCAAACCTCAAACAAGTTGTCCAAGTCAGTAAAAGTTCTTTGACTAAACAGTCATCGACATTATGAACTGGTGAACTTTCTTCGTTTGGCATTTGTTAACTTTTTTCAAACCTAGTTCTGAACCATTCGAAATCTTCAGTTGAGGCAAGAGGTGATTCAGAATACTTAATATATGCCCAAGCCACCTCAGTCACCGAGGGTTTCCAGCCTTGTCAATTCGTCTGCCCAATTTTTAGCACACCAGGAAGTTTTAAATCCCCTCCGAACATCTTGAATACAATTAGCGATCTGCCATAAATAGTTAAAAGTAGCCTTTATATATATATTTGGAGGAGATTATCACGTCTCCCAAGATAACAGTTAAGCCTTGGTCCTGTGTGTAAACTATTCAGAACTAAACTTTGCACTCTGCGCCATTCGTCTTTCATCTCCGAAAACCCAATCAAGCTCCGCTTAGAATGACAGACTTTGAATATATCACATATTAACAGTATGAAAACGTTTGTCCTGAATTCACAAAACAATAGAAAGATCACTAAAATCGTATACACATAACCGTCAAATATGAGAAGTAATTTTGAACCACAAATCGAACATTTGTCGGATTATTAAAGATTTGTGGCTAGATTTTAAGTTTCCCAAATCAAAACAACTTTTCTTGATACAGACCTTATTGAGATTTAGATTTTTTTTTCAATAAATAAAATAGTTTATAAAATACATATAAATATCTTTGTTAATGATTTTTCGATGAAAATTAATACTTTATCGTGTATAATTTAGCCGTGATTTTTATTCTAGACAGTATCCTCTACAAATAAGTTCTCTAGTAATGAAAAATTGCATTTCCCGTCAGACCAAACTAATGGAAAATGTTGTGGTTAAGAACACACTTACATATGATTCCTGCAAAAAATTTTTCAGTACACTTTGAAAACAGAGCACCAATCCAATCTGAATGTAATCTTAAAATATACGGACATTAACCGATCGGCGCTTACAATAAAACATAAATGCCAAGATCCCAGGAAACCATGAATTCCCTTAAACCATTTGTGCTCTTCTTTGTATGTTATACAAAAATCTAGACAACTAGAACGTCACCCTTTGTTTAACCTGGAAAGCATATTTCCGCCAAATGAGCATTTTACCCAAAGCAAAAACATATTTTTCTACCCCCTGTGAATTAGTCGATTATAGAGCTACTTCGAATACTGCCCTTACTCATGGGTCAGTCTACTGCCACAAAAAGTAGAAATCTATCAGAAGACTGGCCGATCAAGTTTCAGCGTTTTTTTAATTCTCTATGATAACCTACCGTTCATCATCATGAAATCTCACGCTTCGCTAGCGCAATGATAACAAACTGCTATTGATAAGTTATACATATCTTGAGTTGTTGTCCTATTTGTAGGACACTGAAGATGATCTAAGGCAAATGTATCACATCTCGTTTATTCTCGTATACAGGAATGAATATGTGTTGAAAGCTGCGTAAATGCAAGTCAGAATTTCAATTATAAGACATACTACTCACTGAAAAATGTTTAAGTCAAATAAAAATGGGGCTTCTGGTTTAAAATCCGAGCTTTTCCACTTAACGGCAAAATGTAACCGTTACCACAATACTCAGTACTTGACAACAGAAACGTTTTCCGCTTAGTTATTTTGACCAATTGTTGTGGAAAGGCTTTCATTATTATCTTTTGTAATATCTTTATTTGAAGTATAAGAATTCTCAAGTCACTAGAAACAACATAATATATCTAAATGTTTTTCAGCTAAATTGCAGATAATAACAAATAAATAATCATATAAACTCAAAGAAGTTTAAAAGTTACAGAATACGCTTTTCTCACCTTTATATATCCAACTGGGTCCAAAAGTATATTTTCTGGTTTCAGATCTCGATATATTAGGTCAAGATAGTGTAAGTATTCGAGAGCTAATATGACCTGGCTTGCGTAAAAACGCGCTGCAGACTCACTGCAATCAAAAAAATGTTAAGAACAAAATCTACCTAAATCGGCCCTTTCTTCGCAGGTAGGAAAACATTTCACCCCCAGAGACGTATTCCAGTCCTAAAAACAAGTAAACTTCATTCTACTTACTAGTTTTATAAAGTAACATACAAACCTTGAAACTATATTCCAGCCGAATCAGAAAAGGAAAATCGATGGCTTGTAAAATCCTCTTCTCATTAAGTGTGTGTTGAACTTGTTTAAGTTTTATAATCTATTTCGATGGAAAAATTTAGAGAAGCCACTGATACTTTTGCTTTGTCAAGGATTTTTAACGCGAAAAAGTTGGATGTCTTTTTATGCTGTACAAGCATAACACGACCAAAAGATCCTGTGCCCAAGGTTCGCAGTTGTTTAAATTCATCTAAAGACGCTGGTTTCTTCAAGAATTACATCATATATTGTTTCTTTACTTTAACAGGATTTTCATAGTTTTCTAAGTAGTTGCGCTTTGCTGTCTCCAGATACTCAGCGACTACGAGTCAGGGTAACATCTCAAAATCAACATACTTTCTTCAGAAATGCATTTTCTTGCGGCATGAGAATTTCCCATGTGTCAAAACGAACTACCAGCGAGAACAAAAATGTATAACATACCACGCGGTTTATTTTTGGATGTAATTGACCTTCGTTCCGCCACCTCAGTTAAACTAAGAATTTTCTAATCGTTCGATGACATGTAACCAGGTTTTTTTATCTGCTATAGCTGGACTGACCAGAATATTGCTAATCATTTGACATATTCTAATCTGGCTTTCCGCCTTTGTTTTCTGAATAACGTCGGTGAAATTACACTGGACCTCAGGCTGAATATATTTATACCATAGCAAACTTAAGACTGAAAGTTGAATAACTTGACTAACTTTATGAACACCATAGGTTATGAACATCAAGTGCTCTGTTAGCAGCATGATTACAAAAAATGAGATGGTGAATGTGTAGTTTATATACACAGAAACAGTAAATTCTACTTATTACGTCATATCACTAATATGCTTATTTGTATCCTCCGAAGGTACCAAGAGAGTAGAAAAACGTGGTCATCACTTTGGAGAGAGACAAGACAGGAGTTCATTCTTTAACTGAATCTTTTCTCGGTTAAGCATTTATAATATTTTCATTCAACTAGAGAGGATGGGGACTGTTTATTGATGAAGACATGTAAGCGAAGGTGGACAGATATCCACATACAATATATTTTTTGAGTACATTCTCATATTCCTAATTGTCATTGATTTAGTAGAAGTTTGTCTACAAAAGCGGAGATTATAAGACGAAACCCTATAAGGCATACTGTTTCCTCACTAAAAACTTTGAGGTTATTGTTTTGGCCACTTTAGGAGCTAGTAATTCTCAAAATCAACGACCGTTCGCAGTTAAATAAACAAGCCTGAATTGAAAAACACAATGCTCTAGTTACACCTCGCAATTTAAACCAACCAAATTATTACATAACATTAAAAACCATCATGACGTCATCATGAATTCTTTTTGTTCTAAAAAGCAGAGCATTGTGATTTGTTGACCACATGACTTAAGTCGAAATTACATAATTATTTGATGACTTGTGTGCAGACAGACCTAACTTTTTGAAGGGAATAAGATACTCTGGAATTTTAATGCTATTATTGTGGCCCGACATCATCATCAAAAATTATGTAGAAGTGTCCACAACACATCTGACAGTACTTCTTCGTCACATCAAACATACGATAAGAGAAAGTAAAAAAACTAAAATATTTAAATCTTTATGTCGATACGCCTCAGGTATTAGGAGTAACACCAGTAACACCTATTATGAATCGTATCCACCAAGTGAAACCAAAGGACAGAAAAGAGGAGGTTCGAAGATATATTAGATAGGCTATCAATGTATCGGGGATCGACTGATCTAATCTGGCTAGTGATTGCAGGAAATGTTGAGCACGGCGTTTGCGCTCGTGATCTGGTACAGATGCATAACTGAGCGCCTTCAGCTGAGTGAGTCAATTGTCGAAGGCTGATAGAGCTACTTGTTTTAGGGATTTATTTATCGTTACACCTTATTCATGCATATAGATTCTGTCGGCTCTTACTGACGCGAAACCTTCAAAAAAAGATTCCATAATGTATATAGAATGAATCGCCCAAGTTTCTGTGACTGCGATTACATCCGGTTTGGCAGAGTTTAGCTACTTATTGTACAAGCTTCGGGCATCTGTATAACAGATCGGAAGCCCATTTAAATGGTTTCGTGCTGCACCCAGAGTGGTTTCAGCATCATTCCTATTAGCAAAAAGGATTTTGTTTGTTTTTGGAATAAATTTTTATTATAAGTTCTTTATTATATGTAATACAAAGGAAAGCCGAGATGAAGCAAACTGTTAACTGGTGTCTTACGTGCGATAGTCGCTTAAAAGTCCTGGAAATCTTAAACTTCTTCCAGAATGGGCTGTTTTAAGTTTATTTTCCGATACTGCCGAAGTATCAACGTGCGTCTTGGCTGTCGGATGAAGTTTTATAAGTGTTAGAGCCGAGTAGTTCGACTGTACGATAGAAAGTCGATGTGGATAAGACTTCTTTTTTATAAATACGCAGCTTTAGGGCGATCGATGCTGATACTATCGTTAGTTCCTTTTTTATCGACTATATAGTACTTGGGTTCACGTTGAAGAACTTTGAAGGGTCTTTCGTTGTTCGCTGTCCATGTTGGAGAACATGGTGCTCAAATTATGGAAAACAGTTTTCAACTTTTCTTTTTAACAAATCAAATCCACCAAGAGTTAAACATTGACCATCCATTTTTTAGCTTAACCATAAAGCTTTTTTTATCATGCAGAGTAAGGGACTTCTGATGAAGAAGACTCTGGTGTTTGAATGAATTAATGATACCTTTGTACTCGTTGAATGCTTCATTTCGAATTCCAAATGCAGCAGGCAACGCACCATGGTTATCGCGACACTTTTTGCTCTACTTTCTTATTTCTGCTATGTGCACAGCCAAAATTCGAAATGTTTTATAAAAAATGTGAAAGTTTATTTTCTATTTTCACAACTAAATGAAAAGGGGTTTTTCCCTTTTGCGGTACATGGTATCGCGGAGTCCTTGAAAATTCATTGTTCAGGTGCTGCTTTAATAGATTTTCCGTATATGCGTCGCAGACTAGCAATTATTTCCCCTTAAATTTACACTGAGGGTAGACAAATATTTTATTTTTATAAGAACTAATATGATCTAAGCATATATCTTCACAAAAATTGTTTTGTCGTCAAAGCTACCAAAACTGCGCACCAAGTAACGATACCATGATAAGATTTATCGTTTTTCCCTTCTTTATTGCAACTGGCTTATTTTCACTGTCTTGTCCGACGTTTATGGCAGAAATAGGTAAATAGTGAAAATATTAGCTGTCCTGAGTGTTGTAAACATTTATATGATATATATATATATATATATATATATATAATCATCTATAGATGATTATAACACATACCAAGATAATATTGCCTTCTGAAGTTAGATATATAAGCCACTAAATCATTATATTGTAGGAAACAAATCATAATCATTTGGAAGAAGTATAATTATTTGAAGATTATACCCGAGACTAAATGTACTTTCAGTGTGTAATTGAATAACGCTTTCTGTTTTTATGTTAGTTTCTGGTCAACATTTATACTGAAATAATTATTTCCTGTCTATTTTAATTCAAGTGTTCACAGACCTAACTGGAACTTTTCAATTTAGAAAACATTGTTATACCATTGCCACGCATTATGAATTCATAGTTTGGATGATGGCTACGATATGGGGCATTTGTTCGTCTAGTATAAGCTATTAGGCTGTTTTGATACTGCATTTGTAATGGACTGTTTTGTAGAACACTGAATGAAAGTTAAACACCAACCTGTTGTACTTAACCAAAAGGCAAGAATAATTCTTAAGAATTGGAAGTTATTTATTAATGGACCATTTGTGATGGTTTTAAACTTTATTAAACGTCTTCATTTGTAACGTATCAGTCTTTTAATTACGGCAATGCTTATCTAGCGTGACAGACCGGAATTCAACCTAGTAGTATAGTACACCATGTTCAGGTTTGCAGTATTTGGTAAACGGTCTGTATGACTAATCGCATGTGCGCCAACCTAATAAATGTTATAACCATTATCCCTATGTCTCACAACCACAAAAGACTTCAAAGTACACTCTTCCTGCCGTTACGCTATAAGAACAAGTTAATGGTCATATAAATGAATCTATGTAAAACCTAAAAACTTACAATTTTAGAACTTGTTATCAAGAAGCATAGCTACGGTCAGTGAGCACAATGGATTCTGACGAAGTAGCTTTATCATTAACACCGACTGAACTCGTCACTTGTGCGCATATGTCTTCCGATGCTTCGAGGAATGAACGGATGAGTACTTGTTAAAGATTCACTAAGAGCATGGGTTGAGTGGTAGTTGTTAGTGAACTCCTCTAGCAGATCATCACTCCCTGTAGAGATTGACACGTTGTCCATCGCACGAAAAACCAAGTCCATTAGGTATTTCCTTGTCCACCGGCTGCTATGTCGAATTAAGTCCGCAATGCTTATAGAGACAGAGGAACACATACTTACCTTCACGAATTAGATCTTTAGAACGTGCATATAAAATATGACAACAGGGCAGCATGTAGTCAGGATTTCGGAACCACAGAAAATAATTTGTACAGCTAACACTTACCTTTCTGAATAATGTTCTTAAGACATGGAATGAACAAAGTATTATGTTGGAATGACTGTGTGTAGACTGTACCGTTGACATTTCGGTCGCTGCCGAATCCATTACGAAAGTGCGCGTATCATAAGTACCTTATATCATGTCTTTAAAGCATTCTGGTAGTCTTACGAGATCTTTGCGTCGTTCTTGCCTGCCTTTTCCCAAGACTATCAGTAGCCACTAGCTGGAACACTGGAAAACTTTAAGATAAATTTATTATTAATCGTTACTTACCCACCTTTGTTGATCTGATAAGTCGAGTCAGTACATACTACCTGGGTACAACTGTGAATGCGTTATGGCGATATCGCCCATGGTAAGCCGTTTATGGAACTTTCAAGAAACCAGATGCCGTAAGCTACGAGTTGGCGTATGACTCAAAAGAAACGTTCTTAAATATAAGCCCTCACTTAACGTCAACTGTCGTCTTGAAGGATCTACAGAAATATACCCTTCTGTGTCAGGATGGTTGTGCATGGTCTTGATAGAAGTGACTTTTAGCTCACAGTTTACTTCGCGGAACAAAATCCGGATTGACAATGGCAATATTTCGACCTGTAAAAAAAATTTAGTCGAAACAAGACATACGTAGATTACCGACGTCGTCTTCTTTGTCTAGGTTGTGCTGATGAGTTAGAATTTGTATGCTCTTCAGAACAATGATGATCACTACCATCATCTACATCCTGAAGACAAGCATCTGACTCTGATGAACTGCGTTTACGTCCATATGTACAGACATATCTCACGAGAAAATACTTTAAAGTTGGATCATCATTGTTTTCTCTACATACTTACATAACGTAC